GCTCTAAAATAATTTATGTTTTAAAATATTACATATTTGTTTCAAAAATCAAAACGTTTATTATATTATTTTTTAAAAATGAATTATATTTTAAAAGTTGTATACTTTTTATGACTTTTTCATCTTCTTCGGATGAATTTCTTTTTAAATTTGGTCGAGCAGTAGTATTAGAAGATATCTCAAAAAGTTGTTTTTTTATTTCGGATTTGCGTTCCAAATTTTTCTTATGAAAACTCTTAACAGATCATAAAAATATATTTAATTATATGATAAATTTATTTAAGAAATCTGCTTTAACTCCAAAAAATGGTTTAGGGTATACTCTAAAATCTTTTTATTGAAATAAAGCATAATAAAATATACCTTTTCTAACAAATCAGCTGATATTAATAGCGGATTATCTTTTGAAATTGCTATATTTTTTTTTTCTGTTGAATTTAAAATTTCATTTTCATATTTTTCATTCTGAAAAAGTGTTCCGAATTCTCTTTGCTGCATCATATTCTAGGCAACCAAAGATATATTTAAATAAATAAATAAACTATACTTAATATTATATTATTATCTTCTATAAAAATTGAATTTCCCATAAAAATCTAATAGAAAAAATAGCAGAATAATATTAAACATTATGTTACCGCATTTATATTAAGGGGGTTGATAGTTTATTTTATATTTTTGAATCAGACAAACCCCAATAACATAGCTAAATCGAATAAATATATTAATATAATTATAGTTACCAATTTTTCTGGAATAATTTTATCATTTTTATTCGTTTTTCGATACGTGCGTTTTTTTGGAATAATGGAATTTTTTATAGGATAAATATTTTTATTAATAATTGCTGCAAATTGAATATAATTTTAATAATTATTAATTAAATAATCAATTTCGAAAAAGGTTTTTAATATTAAAATAGTTAAATTAAAGTAAAGCGACTGAATTATTGTTATATATGAATAAGAGAACTTATTATTAATTTTTCTTATATTTTATATTAAAAAACTTTTTCTCTATTCGAAATAGTTAGTTTAATTATTAATCTTAATAGTGTTTACAGATAATTCTTCCATCTTTAGTTGACTTTTTTGATATTTGTCCTTTATTTGTATTATTTAAAACACAATTGGAATGCATGAAACGACGATTCCATATTTCTTCAACTCTGCGTATGACCTTATGTAAGTTTGATTCATTTGTTTGACCAAAAATATTTTTTTCACTTGCCATATCAATAACTAATTAAATAAATCTTAATAATTACACAAGACGATAGTTTATTTTTCACGGGAAAAAACGAAGTGAACTGAAATGTCGATAAAATCAACATTTACATCTAATTGTCAAGGAAACTTAATTGTAAAAATTCATTAAAAAAATGTATAAGCCAATTATAAATAAATTTAGTATAAACAATACTTATTTATTTTAATTGTATTATTGGTCAAAGAATACAATATTTTAAGAATAATACAGAATTATCAAAAAAAAAAAATATATATATATATTTTAAAGATATTTTGAAGAAAAACCTTTTGTATTTGTTTGTTTATTTATTACATTAGTTTACAAATGATAGAGATTTTTTTATGAAAGTTCAAGTGGAATAAATTTGATATCGGTTAACAGAATATTTATGCATATAAAATTTAATCTGTATGAAATAAAATATCAACGTTTGGATTTATTCTCTTGCAACTATTAAAAATTTTGCCCATGTGAAATTGCTATTTCCATTTAGTTATTAACAAAAAACATCATGCCATGCGATTATAATCAACATAAAAATTTATTAAGTTGAATATATAATATAGTTTAACAATTTAATTAATAATTGAATTAATGACATAATAATTCTGATAAAAGAAAATAACAGGAGATTTGAATTAATTTTAACGACTTTAACAAATCGAAAATAACTTTAGGGTTTAACTACCTTATAGGTTTAATTATTATTTGCATTTTTAATGTTATTATTATTATTTTTTTTTTTTTTTTGACAATAACGGCTATCTTTGTAACTTCAATATATATCAAGAAAATGACAAGTTATCCAAGAAAATCAAGGAAATTTTAGAGAAATATTAAGATACAGAGCCCAAGGAGATGACCGTTTAAAATCATTTTTGGAAGCTGAAGAAACAATAAAATATACAAGTGAAACACTTCAAAATGAAATAATTGAATCCTGTAATAAAATTATTTTAAATAAAATCGTAACAAACATAAATGCCCAAAGATGTTTCAAAATACTTGCTGATGAAACGGCCGACATTGGTGGAAGCGAACAAGTAACTTTGTGTGTTTGATATTTAGATGTTGAAAATATGATTACCAAGGAAGAATTCTTCAGTTTGTACCTACAAAAGATACTACTGGAAAAGGTCTATATATTATTATTCAAAGTTTACATTCATTTGGTTTAGAAACAAAATACGTTAGAGGACAGTGTTACGATGGATGTGCTTCTATGTCTGGTCAATTTAACGGAGCTCAATCTCTTATTCACCAAAGTTATCCGCTTGCGACGTTTGTTCATTGTGCTGTTCGTGTTTTAAACCTTGCTATTTCTTATTCATCTTCTATACAAGAAACACGAAATTGATTAGGAACAACATCTAAAGTTAGAGATTTTTTCATATACCCAAAGCGAAAAGATGTGTTGATAAGTCAAATCGAAGAAAGTCAAAAATGTATAACTAAAAAATCATTAAAAAATTATATGCGGCTAAATGAGTTGAACGTTTTTATGCTGTCAATGATTTTCTTGAGCTTTTTGTATACCTAATTGAATAGTTATTTATAATTTCGAAGTGGAATGACACTGAAACATCATCAAAAGCAAGTAATTTACGAACATCAATACTGAAAGGAGATTTTATTATTTGTTTACTTATTATAAATAAAGTATTTAGTTATGAGTTACCTTGTTTAAAACAACTTCAAAGAAATTAGCAGGTACACAGCATTGTTATTATCAATGTTAGTAAGGCACATTGTTGTGAGTTTATAAATACACTAACTGACAATACAGAAAGTATATCTATGATATTCATAATTGATAATAAACAATCCGTGACTGCGACATTGATATCATATAAACCATTTAGCTACCTGTATTTGTAATCATATCATCATGTGTATTATAGATGTATATTAACTCAAAAATTTGAAACTAAATGTTTATATCTAATAAACTAATAAAGTCATATTAAAAATTCAAATGCCATTTACTATTTAATTAAAAATCCAAACATTTTATTATATTCAAAATATGTGTTCCCATTTAAAAAACAAAAAGACAAAAGGGATGAACATAAAAAGTTTTAAATAGTTAATAATTTAAGAATAATGTGTAACTAAAATCAAAAATAATGTTTAAATTATGTTTATTCTACAAGTAAATGAGTGGGTTATGATAAAAAAATCAGTCTGTATACTGTAATATAGTTTATCATTTGTAAAGCTGGAAGTAAAACATTTTTGTAATGTTTTGTTTAATTGTAATTTCCTGATCTATTATTACTAGACCAGGAATTAAATATTTAAAAACATTTTTGAAAACGATAGTATTATTAATTTCGCAAAAAGAAAAAAAACAAAATATTTTAGTATATAAGACGAAATGGAATGAATCGTAGAGGAGAGAGGACCTCAGGAGCACCGAAGGTAATCTCTTTTCGCGCGGTACGTTTATGACATTAAGCTTTCATTTTGTGTATTGTTTTATTGTGTTTTTAATGTATATTTATTTTGTATGTTTTGCATTTTTTAATTATATCTATAATAAATACATTTGAGTTATTATTAAACATTTATTACTTAAGTCTTAAGTAGTCTTAGTTTCTTAAGTTAAGACACTAGGGTTGTTTCTTTTAAGATACAACAGTACCAAAATTTCAAATTTCTAATTATTTGTCAATTCCTAAAATAGTAATTAGAGAAATAGTAAATTATTTTTAAGTCAGTAAACATTTCTACAATTTTCGTTTGTGAGGTTCATTAAAAGTTGGACACCACCCGAGAAATCATTCAAAATACGCCACTGGCTGAACGTGCTAAGGCAGTGTCGAAGTAATTAAATGTAATTTTTTTCCGTGTATTAAGTTTTCTTTTCGTGTTATTTTATTGAACTAACTTCAAAGACACACCACATCGTGGTCTTTTTTTTTTTTTTGTTCAACTTAAATTAATTGGGTTTTATATAATTACGTAATCACTCATACCCATTTTTTTGTATTGCAAATTTTGGGGAAAATAAAATTGGAAAATTCTAATTTTTTCCAAATTATTTTTGGTTTTTAGGTTTTTTTGAGAGAGAAAATTACTTAAGAGTTACGTCATTGTAGTTTTACAATATTGTCATGAAAAAAAACACCGAAAATTATCAAAAAAACAATTTTGGAACTATTTTTAGTCTTATGACGTATGAACTTTAAAATGCTATAACTTTTGAACCAATAGTTTCCGCCAATTTTTTCAATCACTTTTGGAATAATCATAAAAAAACGAACGTTTTGAAAAAAAAAGGGTGCCCGGTAAAGTAGACTTGTTCCACTAAAATATAATAATAGTTATAAAGTAATGCAAAATAATAAGTAGGTTAGAAGTTATTAGTTTTATCAAAACATTGTGGACAGCCTTGTATATTTTAATATTTGATTGTATTGTATTATAATACAAGTAACCTTATAGTAACTTTTATTTAAGCCTAAACGTTGCTAGTTACCAGTTGTCTCAAATATTATAATATTATAATAACGTATAAACCATTTGATACTTGTCCCGCTGTGTAGTAGAATCATTGTGATTTGGAAAACAATAATTAAGGTTTCTTCTTTGATGATAGGTAGCGTTAGTAGTAAGTAATTGAATAATTGTTATGTAAAATTTGTTTGAAAAGTAATATTGTATAAGTAAAAAATGTATAAAGTGCCTTTAAATTTATGAAAATATTAGGTAGAGTAATGTCGTAACACAGTAAAGCGAATGATATTAGGTAAATGTGTGTAAATGTGTAACTGTGTGTACGAAGATGAATATGAGGAGGTGGTGCCTGCTGTCTAGGTATTCACGTGCGTGTTGTCGTACAGCAGTCACCGTGCTCGGCTGACACTCCGGGTTAGCTGTGGGTGTCGAAAGGCTGTTGTTATTTGAAGGGAATAAGGGTAGCACCTAGGTATGAGGTGCAGACGAAGTGCAAGACACAAGTACTTCACAGAGAGAACGGGGTAGCCGAGTATAAGGTGCAGACGAAGTGCAAGACACAAATACTGAGCGTACCAGATAAGGATTATAACAAAGCACGAGGTGCAGACGAAGTGCAAGACACAAGTACTTCACAGAGAGAACGGGGTAGCGAGTATAAGGTGCAGACGAAGTGCAAGACACAAGTACTCTGAAATGTCGAGGAAAAGAGTATATAGGTTAGAAAAGGAATAAACAAAGACTTTACTTTAAACAGTAAGCCGGACAGCGACAACCGAGTACTGAGACTGATGAATGACACAAGGCACTGGAGTCGACTGACCACGATGGTCAGGTCTATTGGGTTTTTATAATAATTACACTTATTGCCGATTTGGCAATAAATATTATTTGTTAATTCATCAGTCTCAGGCAGCGGATGTGCTGTCTGTATTTTATTAAAATAATTCTCACGATTATGAAAACGTGACACCATCACAGTAATATGAAGCTTTAGTTTTTACAATTCTGTTAATCGCAAAACCTACGACGGTTGATCTATGCAAACGGACATTTTTTTTTGTGTTGAATATGTAATAGGATTAACAATTTTTAGTTTCCTTATCTCAAATACTTGGAAACTAAATTTAAGATAATCTATACCGAGAAAAAATTATTAATGCATATCTTTTTATTTTTATGTTATGAATGTATATTTTCGTTGGTATTTCTTTCAATAAATAAATATTATTTTAATAAATAATAATTAATTCATAAAATTAATGTTCGAATAGGTTTATCATCCTGTTATCTTCCTTTTGATTTTTTGTTTTATTTTAATAGGATTAGAAAATAGGTGTGATGTTACACAGTGAACAGTACAGCACTGAAGCAGAGCTATGCTTTTTGTTGTTGGTACCCGGTTGGGTGGCCAAACGGGATTATTAACAGGACACACACTGCCTATACTGGCTCCCTTAGCCATAATTAGATTGCATCAGATTGTCTGCCGATGTAATAATTCTGTCAAATCACTAAGGTAAAACCGATTCTATATAGTAGAAATAGAGGCTAGAATGATTATGATAATTAATATTATTAGAAAAAATATAGTTTAATAATACACAATATATAAAAATTCAGGTAAAAAATATAATTCAATTAAATTATATCAAAATTATTTTACCGGAAACCCCTGTATTTGTAAGTAAGTTTTCAAAAGAGGTTATAATTATAACATTTTGTTTGTTTTTTAATTCGGGGATATTAAACAATTACAAAATTGAAATAAATATTTTGAGCTGAGTATAATAAACTTAATTAATATAAGTTAATTAGAAATAATTATTTTAGTGTAATAGGACACAATTTTTTCCTGATTTTAATAACGATTGAGAATAAGTATATTACTGTGCTTGTCAATATTTATTTAAACATAATTAAGTTTTAGAAAAAGATTGTTTACTACTAAATAGTTACTATTTTATAGTGATCATAATTTACTATTTGAAAGTATTATTAATAACTCAAAAATCGTTTTAACATAAATTAACATATTAATATTTTTCGATTAAAATTATTAGACATATATTTAGTATTGCAGTTTTTGCTATTGGTATATTTAAAATACTACTATGTTTATTGTTCTAATTTTTTTTTTTATTAATTATGAATGTGTAAAGTTATTTTTACAATAATTGAAAATAATTATTAAAAGTAATTTTTTTTTATAATTAATTATTTAATTATATTGTTACCTTAGAAAGGAAAGGTTCTAACGAGACTTGAAAAATGTTTAATTTCAATAGATTGATAGATAATTTTTATTTTAAGGTTTGAGTCAATGAATATTTTGTATAATTTCATTAGTAGGTTGGCCTTCAAGAGCATTGAGTGTATATAATGCACTAACTATACGCACTAGTTATAGTTACACTGTAAAACAGGGTAAACTTTGTTATATGTACGGGCTGAGGTGACACGAATAAGACAACACATGAGTGTCTAGTATACAACAGATTTAATTATAAAAAAAGATAACATCGAGCGGCGAAACAATTCCGAAAATAACCAGTTCAAATGCATATCACTTTGAAATGGGACATAATAGTTAAATAATTATTAGTTGCAAAATTATAATAAGTATATGATTATCAAAGTTACATTTTATATCAAAGTTCTGCTATTTTACGGTCCGCTATTTGCAATAGGCAATTTGCAATAAGCTATTTGCAATAGAATATTTGCTATAGGCTATTTTTGTTCACATTAAAGAGAATTTTAAAATTTAGATATTTATCCTGGAACTGATGAAAAAATATTCATTAATTATAATATTATTACAAGACTTTTTTAATCAAACAATTTTTTCTTTATGAAAGAAAAGAAAAATGCTATTATTAATAATAAGACGCTATTTTTTTATTAAATATTGTTTTTAACATTAAAAAAAATAATAATAGATTCCCATTTAAATATTAAAAGTTATATATAAAATACAATCTTAAACATAATTTTTTTTGTAAAATAAAATTTATATTTATCATGGTTTATAAAAATAAATAAAATATTTATTTTTACATTTTTATTAAAAAATTATTATTTAACAAAACATTAGAGGATATAATTTAAAAAAAAACGATTTTTTTTTATTAAAAAGACATGAGAAAACATGTTTATTCTAATAAAATGAAATATAAAATACAAATAAGGAATAATTCTGTTAAAATCAGTGTACGTCTGGGAAATCTGACATAAATTATGTCAGCTATATTTATGACACTGTTATAAAGTACTTTTGTGTAATATTAGTGGTGTAATTTCTTATTATTTTATTCAAATTTATATTATAAACTTTTAAAAGATTTAAAAAGTTGTCACTTAAATTTGTTACACTAGCTACTTTAAACAATTTTGGCACTAAAATTTTTACTATAAATTGATTTACATAAAAAAAATTTGCCAAACAAATTATGTGTAACATCATTTATATTTTATGTTTTATATATTTTTCATCAACTTTCTCATTTTTTTATATACATATAACTTTTGCACTATAAACAGAAGTGATTTCTTTGTGGCATAATTCTTTTAACGTCAAAAAACAAATCACTTCACGGACTTCCAAGGTAAACACGTTTGGTGTAAAAGACGTCATTTTTAACTGACAGTAACTTCCTCTTCCTTTCTCAATTTCACTCGTGAAAAATCCAGTGTTACCAACAATAGTCGACTATAGATCCCTAAAAAGCTGGAGGTTTAAGGTCATTTTAAAATCGGGGAAAAACATAGGGAACATTTTATTTTTGGAAACCCCTCGTACATTATCATTATAAAAAAAAAATTTCACACCCTTATAAAAAATAAGGGATGAATATAAAAATTATGTTATAACAGAAAACTGGAAATAAATATGTAACTTTGTATTTAAAAATATATTTTGTTCTTGTTAAGCAAAAAAAAAAATTATTACTTTAAGGGAAATTGAGTGTCTAGCGTTGAAATACTTGTATTATATGCAAGCATATAAAAACACAGTTGGGACAAGGATAGATGATATCTGATAGAGATTAAAACCAAAAGAAACGCTCTGATACAAATTGTAGATAGTTTTTAATTTTAAGAAATTGGTGGATTATTTTAAAAACAAAATTAACTCCTATTTTTTGTTCAAATTCAACTGCTATTTACATATAAAAGATAAATCGTAGGGATAAATTTCTTTTTTCAACTTATAATACGTAACATAAACTTTAATTTAAAATATATTTAAAAGACGCAGTATTTTCGAAACATTTTTAAAAGTTAAGTTGAAAACATTGAATTTTGTGAAAAAGTTGCTATTTTGAATCCCACCTTGTGAACAAGTAATGGGACAGATTATCAAATAATGTATATAAAATAAATAGGAAATACCTAAGGTTTTTACATAAAAAAAAATGATTTTGGTACGTTTATTTTTCAAAATGTTATGGCAGTATGAAGAAAAAAAATGTCAAAATTTACCGATTTAAAAAATTGTAATTTTTTGGTGGATTTTCTCTATTTACAGGGAACGAGAGAAATTTTTCCAATTTTTAAGGGCAGTGTCTTCAACTGGATACAAATTATGATATTTTGACGAATCGTTGAAAGAAATTGGTCCGGTAAGGGTTGAAGAAAAGTGGCGACAATCATAAAAAAAAACATCATAGTAAAATTAATATTTTCTCAGTTTTGCACCAAATCTAAAATAAAAGGAATATTTTTTAATTTATAACATTTTTTATTATATTTACATTTTAAATAATTTAAAAAATTGTAATTGCTTGTACAAAATTAAAACCAAGCAATACTTGGATATTACAATATAATGTAAGATTTTATTACTGTAAAATTAATGCTAATTATTTATAATTGTTTTTAGTAAATAGATTACAACAGTCATTTCCCATTATCAATCAATGCAAATTTCACAAAGCTATTGAATCATCATCATTATCTATGGAAGTTCTAAATGGAAGTGGTGGACTTAAAATAGGAGTTATGGTATCAATTTCAGTATCGACTGTTATTTTTGGCTGAGATAATGGTGGAGCAATTGCTGGATAACCTTGAGCAGTTGTCCGGATATCAGTAGCTGTGTCATCAAATGCTATTGATCGCCTAGAGTTAGGTAAGGTGTTATAACCATTGTACATTATTACAGAATCAGCTGTAGCCGCAGAAGCTAATATAGCTCTTCTTTGGCATCTGCTTTGTTTACGATCAATAGTTTTGGTTTCAGTAACAGTGTTAGCAATATAGTATGCACCTAAACATCCCATACCACATTGTACAGGTATCTGAATTGATACATAACCAGTAGTCGGTGAACTTTCCGCCCATACAATGTCATTAAAATCGATTTCCCATTCTTCACAACTACTATCTTTTTTATTGACATCATTTACTACATCTGGATTTCCATCTACTTCTTCCACGGGCATTACTAACGCAGTCTCAATAATTTCATGATTAGTCGGTATTGGTTCCTTTTCTATCGTATTCACTGTTCGATAGCCAATTGTTGACCCTAATGACGAAGTCATTACTCTTGTAGAACGTTTTTTATCAGAAATCGATCCTGAACTCAAATCATCTTTTTTAGATAATTTATTGCAATGTACAGCCATGAATCCAGCTACTGTGGCTATAATAGCTATACTACACACAGTAGCTGTATAAGCTATGTAAGATAATTTACCGGCGTTTCCTTCGATTGAAGATGATGTCGATGATGAAGATGGGGGTGACGAACCAGCAGTATTTGACAGTCGAGAAGTTACAGACAATGTAAAATTTGCTGTCGCCTTCCCTGCATGATTTTCAGCTAAACAGGTGTATATCCCTGTATCTTCTTTACTAGCATTATATACACGTAGTTCAGCTGTATTATTGCCATCAATAGTTACATATTCAGTCACGTTATATCGATCTATTGATTTATCATTAAACAACCAATGTACAGAGGCAGCTGGAGTGGCTAATATCAAACACCTCATTAAAACATCTTCTCCTTCAATGACATTTTGTGTGGCACTATCTTGTGATTCATAATATACTAGAGGTGAACATGCCAAATTGACAACTGGTATGACTCTAATAGGTATACCAATATATTCATTGGGGCCCGTACATAAAGGTTCCAATGTGACCGGTACCCGACTTTCAAACAACCACCGATGCATGTCAATCATGTGACAATCACATTGCCAGTTGTTTTGATATAAGTTAATTCCATGCAATCGTTTTGGAAGTGTGTCATAACCTAGAACATATGTCAGTCTATTATTGTTCAGCTTAAGCCAATCAAGGTTATGAAGACCCTCAAATGCACCGACATCTAATTGCTGCAATCCACATTCACTGAGATCAAGCAAGGTGAGTTGCTGTAGATGAATAAAAGCATGCGCATGTATTCGGTCGATTGGGTTTCCTGCCAAATTAAGTTTCATTAACGATGTACATTCGGAAAAAGCTACTGAAGGAACTTCTCGCAAAAAATTACTCGATAAGTCCAAGTCAACCAAATTAGTAAGACCACGAAATGCCTGATCGTGTATGTAATGCATATTACATCGTGATATATGAATCCGCTGTAAGTTTAAAAGACCAGTTGTAAGAAAAACTGCACGAGGTAAACCAGTTACCGACAAATCATTGTCAGATATGTCTAGCACCTGAGTTTCTGGATTAATATCCAAACTGGTAATAGCTGTTACTTTTTTGTTAATACACTCCACTGTTTGTTTACCATTTTTCCATTTACAAGAGCAGCCTACTGGACAGCCTGCTGTAATGGGCAATGGTAACATTGATATTTTTCTAGTAGTACAATTAGTGGGTTGAATCATTGTTACCATGATTATAATCAGAAAAATCGCTAATATCACCGATATCCTCCATATAATCATTACGGCAGGTCAACTCATTTTGTGACTCTGAAAAGATATAAAAAATAAATTATAGACTTAATATTTTAAACATTATAAAATATTACATTGAGTATATATTTCATTCCAATATATAGAATTACGAAATATTTATCGGAACTGCTAACATGATTACAGTGGTTAACCTTGATTTAATATTATATTCAATGGTTTCTGCAAAGTTAATGGGTAGTACTATCTACTGAGGTGAATTACATACAAGTTTTCAAACATCGTATATACTATTCTTGTTGATATATCAACATTTTTTCTCCTTAAATAGTTTAATAATCTTTTTGTTTATGGTAAGTTAGATAAAAAAAATCATTTACAAAAGATAAACCAGCGTTAAAAAATGATTCAAACTTATCTTTCATTATATGTTGGAGAGATCGGAAGAATTTTGGTAGCTATATAATGTGAATAACACAATAAAACTTATAGTGTGCAGTTATTATAAGATATCAGAATCTATTTTTGATATGTGATTTTGGTGATTGCAAATACATTAAGAGATTCAAATAATTAATACATTTGTTTTATTTGTTAATAAAATTTTACTGTATACAGAATAAATCCATTATTCACTTAATTCGGAAAAATATGTTTTTTAAAATATTATTAAATAGTATTGAATTTATCTATTACGTAAAAAAACTCTAAGATTAAACTTGTTTAGCGTTAAAGGTTATATTATGTCATACTAGTTGTGGTCGATTTTTTCATTAAATGTTAAGGCAATACATTTTAGAACTATTAAATACTATACATTGTAAGAAGTCAGACAGTAAAATGTTTCTGATTAGTTTCCAAAGTGTTAAATAGTTTAGAACACTGGAATTAAATCCCGTTAAAATAGTTTTACACGATATGACCCACACTAAACATGAACTTTTAAATCAGGTGAAAGAATAAATTACTTAAAAAGTCTACTGAATAATATTTTAAAATAGAAATAGTGTACACTCATATCAATTTATTCAAGTATATTGATCCATTAAAAATAATTATAATTATTATTTATTAGTAGCAACTTGAAAATTACCATATTTCTATTTAAAACTTAAATGGTATATACCATGAAATCAAAACAAACTATCCGAGAAAACTGAAAAATGAATAACTATAATAAATTTATATTTATTTAAATTTTAATTTATTCATATATAATATGAATAAAAAATATACAAGTATAATCTGTATAACTAAGCGATAAAAAATCTAATTAATTTAAGTGATGTATACCTACATTAAATTAAATTTCATATCGTTTTAATAAAAATATTATTCAAAATGAAGATAATGATTATTGGTTATAAAATTAATAAATACAAGTAAAAAAATCATGATGATAAATTATAGATATAATAAGATTATTTAAATACTAACAATTAAATTTAAAGTTTTTAATTAAGCATGTTTAATGTTATCTTTTAAAAGCTATTTTTTGGGTCAGAGAGAAAGAGAAAACTTACGTAAAAGAACTTGTATTATTGAGATACTTTAGACAGAATGACAATCTCCTAACGTATTTCAATAGCTTAAAGAAGGTTTAATATAAAGTTTTTTGTTATAAAATAGATAAATAATGTGGTTTAGGTGATTCAAAATTAACAATACAAAATAAATAAGTGTTGCAACACAAAGAGAAACAGATATAGCAGATGTGTATTTAAGGCTAAGTGAATAAAAGTATCAGTTTTAAACTATGTAGGTAACTCTCTTCGAAATTAATAACCACCTTACCCTTTGGCTCGTTTAACAAAAGTCGAAGTAACTTTAAACAATAAATGTTCTAAGTGTTCTAACTTCAATTTAAATACTTCATTAAATGATTAAAAACCATTTGATTTTTCACTAATAAGTGCAATAATATCTACGCATATATTTTTATATGCGTCTTTAAAGGATTCTGAAAATATTTGGATGTGAATTATAAGAATACTACAATGTATTATGTAAATTGCATTATGTACCATATTGATATCATAAAAATCTCATGTAATATGTATTTAAGTCACTATTAAATGTGTAGTTAATAATAAAATGATAGTAATAAAACAGTTTAAAAGGGCAGTACGGCATTCGAGATTTCAATTAAATAATAGGTGGGGACTATCAACTATGTGAAGTAAACAGGCTAAGATAGAAGCCTCTTTTTTTTTCTGTTCTGTCCCTTTTAGTGTATCAGCACTGTAATGTAGCAGAGTAGAATAGCGTAGAACAGTAGTTGTGAAATTAGCTATTTAGCACAACAAGGTGGAATGTGAATAAGAAACAATCTCGACTGCCACATGCTTCGTGTCCCTTACAAATCTTATTTCAGTGTTTAGATGATTTCTACCCGACTACAATTTATTTTAAGAGCTTAAATGAGGACAGCGAAAAGGTGAGTCCATTTCATTAACCTCCGTCATATATTTTAATTACTAGAAGAGTATTGATCGTTTTTAAATAATAAGGTTTTATGAGTAGTTGAAATCATTAACATAAATTTATAAATAATTAATTTTATCGTGTTGTAAGAATATCGCTATACACATATTTTAAACGTCCTAGGAGCGAAGTGTTCGTGCTTTGCCGGCGCCACTAAAAAAGAAGTCCCTAGAGCCAGGCTGTGTTAATGCACATGCTATTTGGGATTACTTAACACGCATGAAACCAAATTCTTACAATTTCATATGTTAACAGAATAATCACAAAACGTAAATTATTTATTTTAATACCTAACAATCCAAATATAATCAGAATATCAAAGATATCCAATAACGGATCATGAAAAAATCTCTAACAGACGTCCTTGAAAGAAATTAAAAATTGGCGTTAGAACCTTTTCGTTATGAGGCAAAAATCAGAATTTTTAAAGTGAACATTGAATGAATTCTACGATATTTTTATCTATTTTAAGATATTGAAATTTCACTAAAAACACAAACTAATCAAAATAGCACTTAAACTTGTGTTAAATATGCAAAAATATGCAGTATAAAATTTAGTATTTAGCTTAATGATTTTCTTAAACAAATTAATAACTTACGTAGGTAATTCTTGAACCTTTAAAAAAAAAATATATGCAAATGCTAGAAGTTATGAGCCTTTATTATAATAATTAAAAAATTGGTCAATTTTACTGACGACATTATGAACTTTATTTTTTTTAAATAATTTAACTATTTTAACATTTCAGAATAAAAATATTTTTTGAAATCAGTATTTATATTCAAGATTAAAATTTTTAATATTTTATTCGTATTTTTTTTTCTTTTTTATTTGATATTCTGAACATAAAATATATTTTCATACGATTAATATATTTATCAAAATAAACTCTTTTCTTTTCCATACATTTTTAATAATTAATATGAAATAATAAGATTTTATCATTTACCCGTAATATAATAAACAGAATTAGCTACTTTAAATTGAAATTTCTATCCCAATAAGTCTAGTTACAGCAACAAGGATTTAGGGTTAATAATTAGTGTTAATTAATTGATTTAATATAACAAGCACAAATTTGTATTCAGCTTAGATATATTTGTTCATTTTTCCTGCTAACTTCTAAGGGAAAGCATAGTTAACAAGTAAACACTCATTGTATGTATAACATTTTCTAAAAAAAAAAAATTAACTGCGCAAATACCTTTATTATCAATATGAATTATACAAATAACAAAGAAGTATTTGAAGAGCACACTAATGAGTTTACTAGAACCAGTAGCTACTTCTCATAATTGACTACAACGTATACGGGAAACATACATGGTAATTTGGGTCCATTGGCTAATTTGTACTGCTATAAATCTTAAAATAATCAGTTGTAATGCACGTAGACTGTAATTGGGGTTCATCAAATGTAATTAGTTTTTACTTTATCGCGAATATTATAATATTTGATTTCGTGTTTTTTGAATACTTGAGGAAATAAAAATAAAAAACAACATGCTTTTGTATTAAGCATGTGTATATTCTTAAAAAAATATTACTGCATTATCATTAATTCTATATAAATTTTAGTATAGAATATCCTTTTTAAACAATAAAATTTAATATGCTTTACGTATTATAAAGTACAAAAAGCTAAAATTAAAAACTAAATACCACTTAATTCAACTCTTACTAATTCGTTTAAAGTAATAGTTAAAGGTATATACACTTTTTGAATATAATATAAAACAAAACAGAAGTAGAGGATACAAAGGAAACTCACTGTATTTAATAATTTCCCATAATACTCCAGCCAAATCATCAAAATTGAGAAGCAGAAGCCAACCTTATGGTTGACAAAAGTATTATATAACATAAGAAAATAATCATATAAGCCATTTATAATTAAATAAAATATTTTAAAGTTTAGGCGCATTTGCTTGTTAAAATACTTTCATCATTAGGTATATTAATTAACATATTTAAAATACATATTATTAAAAAGTGGTTTAGCTATAAAGTTATGTCATTAAAAAAAGTTCAATGAATGGATAAAAAAACGAATAGTTATAATATAATCAAAAAAAGCTTTTCAAAGATCTAAGGTAGTCATTTATGAACAAAGTATAATATTCTTTAAAATATAAAGAAAAAGTTATTAATACTTCTAATAAAGCTTTAAGGTTAAGACATTTTTAGATTTTTTTAAAAGTCGTATCTATTATGTAAAAACGATATAAATAATATCATTTGGTAATAAAGTATCAAAACTACGCACACTAACTAGATAGTTATTTCCAAAAATGATAATATCACTATTAAATTTTTGGGTTGGATTCTATGATATACGGTGTTCATACAACATTAATCTTAATGCATTCTACAGGCTTTTTAAATTGACATTTTTCACGAGTACCTACAAGATTAAGTATTTTACCTCGTGGATGCTTTCGAAGCATTAAACAGAACACAGTAAGTTTACCACGATGAAAAATTTCAAGTTATGACATAAATTTAGAGATCGAGAGATTAGTTTGGAGGTATTTTAAGCATCAACTTAGAGGGAAGAACATCTAAAATTC